TTTAAATCTCGTAAGATGGCATGCAGAAATTCTAAAATTAAAAATATGAAACCCTAATTTATGAAATAAAGAACAATTATGATCTAAAGGGTATCAAAATTTACAAAAAAAAAAAAAAAAAAAAAAAAAAAAAAAAAGCTTAATATTTATTTGTTTACTTTATTAAACATTTCTTTCAATGTAAGTTGTTTAAGTTGCTTCATTTTGTGATAATACTTTCTTTTTAATTCTATAAACAGACATAATTTCTTGTTCAGTTACAAGTTCCGCTGTTCAAGTCCCGTTAATTGCTGTGCCGAGAATACCGACTAACTTGTCAATCGAAATTTTTTCATTTTCACTAACCTCTCTGTCACATTCTTCATGTCTTTATCCATTTTTTGCAGCAATTCCACTTTTTGTTTGTTGGACATCGAAACATACTTTCGTTTTGTAGATCCTTTGGAAGTTCCAGCATCGGAAATTCTATTTGACATAATCGAAAGTTCAAGTTTACTTTTATAAAATTGCTCTTACAGTTTGCAAAAAATAATAAGCAGGATACAATTCGAAGATTAAGAAACAACGCAATCATTAACATTAAGTGAAACAGATAATTAGATAATTTTAGCTTACACCATCCGTTATACATTAAACGCACAGGCGAAAACGTATTCTGCACTTGCGCACACGCATATGCGCAGTAGTCAAGGTCTTACGTGCACGCGTAAAACGCCTGTGCGCATGTGCCAATGCGGCGCATGCACAGAAAGTTTTTAGCTTTGAGGTCTGGATTATAGATCATTCTGGTTTATGGGTGTCCAAATTAACGACTTTTGACTGTATTATAAAACTATTTTAGCAATACCTTTACTTGACCATCTGAATTTCCATTTAAAATCTCAATTTTCAAGTTTAGAAAAGACTGCATCCTTCCTGTTTTGCATACAGCCATCAGTTTGCGCTGATCTTGTAAATGAGTTGAAGAATGTAGAGCCATTAGTTTTTTTTTTTTTTTTTTAAATGCAGGAGTCGTGTGAAAAAGGAGAAATATCCTCGCCGGGACTCGAACCACGCACCTCTCGAATTCTCGTTGAGCATGCTGACCACTACACGGTGAAGGCTTGCTAAGAAGGCAGGAGAAATACCTTATATACTCCTCCTTTTAAAGGATGACTGAGGTTCTGAGGACCCAATCGCCAAATCCTGGTAGTGAAGAATCATCATTTAGTACCTTTTAGTTCAGGTGCCACTATAGAGATATTAGGTATTTTTTTTAAGCAGGAGAGTTAAAAAATGAGCCATGCCCTCGCCGGGACTCGAATTACTGTCCTCTTGAATACGCGCTAAGCATATTCAAGAGGACAGTAATTTGACCATTACACCACGAAGGCGTGCTAAGAAGACGGGAAATATGCCTTAGAAGGTGATACATAAAGATGATTTACCCTCTCCAGAACTTCTAAAAGAAGAAATGAAACATTGGCAACGGCATTTCATGTCTATTCCCAAAGCAAAGCTCCCAGGCACACCAGTTTTGGTTTTAAAAGCTTCGAATAAAATATTTTTACCAAATACTAATGTGCTTTTGCACATAGCAGCTACACTGCCGATAATATCTTGTGAATGTTAACTTTCTGCATGTGCTTTATTATTCGGTAATTATGACATCATTATTCGGTAAGTATTTTTTTCTTCGATATTTTGTACTCAGTGTCGCGGTTTCCAGAACCTATAAACTGAATGTTTATGTTCTGAGAGGCAACGCAGATTTCAGGTCGGCGGATTTTCGGTATTTGACTGTACTATGACGGAAGAGTGCAGAAATTCTTTGGTATTAAGGAACATTAATAATACCAAAGGAATATCAATTGAAAAAATTATTGATATATTTGCCAGTTTACAGCCACAGAAAGTGGAATTCGGGAATATTTCAAATGCCGAACTACAATGAAAAGCCAGAAAAATGTTTGCCCTTTATTTTTATTTTTTATTTTTATTTGCAACTTTTATGAATTTAATTCAATATCTTTATTATATACAACAAAAATACGGATTTTATATATTTATTTATCTTTATAGTTGTATTATGTAACCAAAATATAATGAATTTCATAATTCTTTTAATACAATCAAAAGTCGTTAATTCGGACCTCAAAGCTACAAACTTTCTGCGCATGCGTCGCGTAAGACCTTTACGGCTGCGAATATGCGTGTGCGCGTGCGCAAAATACGTTTACTAATGCGCGTTTAATGTATAACGACGGTATAAGCTAAGCTAAAATTATCTAATTCAGTTAATGTTGCTGATTGCGTTGTTCCTTAATCTTCGAATTGGATCCGGCTTATTATTTTTTGCAGACTTTAAGAGCAATTTTCTAAAAGTAAGCTTGAACTTTCAATTATATCAAATAGAATTTCCGATTTATATTTGCTAATATGTAAAGGATCTAAAGCGAAAGTATATTTCGAAATCCGAAATCTGCTGGATCCTAGAATGGACATGTATCCTAGGATGGACATGTCCATCTTTTGTCCAGACTGTACTTCCTGGGGAGCGACCGTTTTTTGAAGACGACTATGCCCCTAGTCACACCGCTAGGCAATACTCAATAATGGTTCGAAGACCACGATGATGCAATTGATCATCTCGCTTGGTCCCCTCAGTCTCCGAACTTGAATATTATTGAAAATTTATGGGCATATTTGGAGTCCAAACTTCGTTCCCGATTTCCACCTCTATCCAGACTTTCGGGATTAGAAACCGCTCTGGAGGAATGGCTTAATATTCCTTTAAATAATTGTCCATGACCTTTATGGATCTATCCCACGTCACATTCAATCTGTATTTCAGTCAAAGGGTGGTCCAAACCCCTATTAATAAAGATGTTCCATTATTGCACAGGTGTTAATATTATTTTGTCCTCCATCTGTATTGCATTTGTTTAAAGTAGTTTGAAGTGTCAGTACTGATTGTAATATTGTGAAGATTTATAGGAGTATTTTGTGGAAAGTTCCAGAACTGTGAAGTGTTTCTTTTGATAAAATAAATTTTATCAACCTATCATCGGACCTGTATTCATTCAATTTATTATGAACCTACATGCATGCAACATTTAGATTCCGATCAAATAACCAACCGAAAATCTTTTCATTTTCTTTCTGTAGTATTTTCTGGATTTTAGATTTCATTCTCCATTAACTGATTCATGATTGAGGCATTGCCATTACAATTCACTTTTCTCACTTAGCATTTCTTCACATATTCCACCAATCAGAAAATTTAGCATTTTCCTCAGCACCTGGCATCACAGTTTTGTTTGTTTGGCTACTTTTGTGATGCAACCCCATTTTTAATTTAATTATAACACATTTTTAAAAACATAAATGGATTTTTATGATTTGAGGTTTGCCAAGAAATAAATAAGCAGCTATACTATTTCTTTATTTTCTTAATTTTTTATATTTTCCCTTTCAGTTATTGTAGATTTTGTATTCCAATTTAAAGAGTAACTGATTGATTAATTATGGCATTTCTATCACAGTGGCAGACTTAAGTTGTTTAGTATTTCTCCGCATATTCCATTAATCAGAACTTCGCTTTTGATTTGTAATATTATCTGAAAAACACCAAATTTGCAGCTATTATATTACCATTGTTATTATGAAATAATGGTAGCGTGCTCTATATTATGCCAAGCATTAATAAAAAAAGTTTGCAGACCTGTCATTGCTATCTTGCAGTGCTCCATATAGTAAATTTTGAAGTATTTCAAAAATTCTTGGATGGTCTCATTACTGCGTCAATTTTAAAGGCTAATTTATGTTTCGATTTCAAGGCACACAGATTCTGATATACATTGCTGATTCAAGGATGTACAGTTTTGAAGAACAAGTAAACTTTTACTACAGCCTCAATTTCTATAAGATAACAGTAATAATAACAGACTGAACAAAATAATACCGTGCATCAAATCAAAAAGTTACAGAAGAGTGCATATTGCAGTTCTAGGTGAACTTTTTATCAAAATCTAGTTTCTTTTCTGTTACAAACCATTATGTGCAACATTAAATACTAAATTTAAAAAAAAAAAAAAAAAAAAAAAAAAATGAAGCTTTTTAAAGAAGTAAAACTGTTTAAAATATTTTTATCAAGCTATGTTTTACAGTGCAAGAAACTGGGTCACTTCTATGTTCATCTTGTCTCAAGCATAAATCTGATGATCAGTGTACTAATTTAAAACATACAGTGTCTGATGTAAGTAAATAGATGATCAAGTAGGTAAAATTTTTTATGCTACTAATGAATCATTTCATAGTGCATAAAACAGTCATTTCATAAAATTAATGGAGGTGCTGCAAGATATAAGCTTCCATTTAAAAGTGACTTAAGTGATAAATTATTAAATGATGTAAATGAAGAATGAATGGAGAAATGCAGCAGTGTTTTACTTAATTAAATGGTATGTATGATGCAAAACCAGCATTTTTCAAACTTTATTCTTGGAGGGACCACTTTTATTAATTAAAATGTTTTATGGACCACCTTAATTTTGTCCCTTAATTTAATAAAAACGAAATTTAGTAATGTTACTGCCAGTATACTTGTATTTTTAATATATAATGAATTAGAATTTAATTTGATATATTATAAAGTAATTAAATTAATAGAAGGAAATTTAAATTTGATTTTAAGAATTCAAGGCTATTAGAATTTGTATAATCTATCTTTTTAATTAAAATTTAATGAAATATTGGTATTAATAAGATGGACGAGTCTGCTATTTCCTGCATCACTGTTCTATAGTTGGAAGCTGGTGAGAAGCATCACAGTGTTTTAAATCCCTTTTTTTGTTGCTAAAGTGAGAAGTCCACAGATAAAGTCAACAAATAATAAATTTTATAAAAAATGTTGGAAGAAAAAGTGACAGATGATTGCCATGAGTATTTTCCAAACTCTGAGATTTTAAGCTATAGTATATGCAGTTAATTTAATTTTTTGTCTTTTTTGGAAATCTAAGAGGGCCATAAGGAGGACCATTTTTTACTTCAAGGACCACTGATTTAGAAATCCTGTGTAGACAATTGTTCGAATAACCACAACCAGTCAACAATCAGTGTATACAATAGGTATAACTTTATTTACATATCTCTTGCTGTTGAAACCATTAAAAAAGTGGAAGTTTAAATGTGAAATTGGTAATTCTGCAATTGATAATGCAGCAAATATGGCAAAAATCAGAAAAGAATCAGAAAAACAATTTTCAGCTTATATATCATGTACATAATGTATTCGCTGTTTCTGAATGTATTATTCAAGTCAAATATTTTTTAAATTGCTAGTTTTGTTCAAACCAAATTTAATGAATTGATTTAAATATACCATCTGAATGAGCATACCAAGTTCCAGTATGTGCTAAAATATTAAAATTATTTAAAAACTTGCCAGATTTCATGTAAATTGTGGAGAAAAAGAACACACAGTCAAAAGTTGTTAATATAGCAGTTAAAGAAATGCTGAAAAATTCTTTTTTTCATATGAAGTTAATTTCAGTTACTGTGGGTAAAATCTATTACTGTGGGTAAAGTCTAGTTGCAGCATTGTTTAAAGTTTGTACAGGTTTTGAGAACAGCTTAAAAAAAAGATAAAGCATATCAAAGATAAAACATGATATGAACAAACATCATTACTGGCATATTTTAGCTTATATTTTATAGCCAAATTATAAAGCTGAAACTTATTAGCAACTGAAAAGAAACAGGCACTAGAATTAATAAAGCTAGGCAAACACTGCTTTGTTCAGCATCACACTGAAATTTATAACTCATGTTTCACCTTTCTGTAACGCCAATTTGAAAATGAGACACTGACTACATACTGCTAAGTGATTGAAATCAATAGCTCTCTACAAAGAATGTATAGGGATTAAAGGATACTTTTCCAGTATGTACTTTGCACATACTTTGCTAGGCTTTTTTAACTGTAAATAATTTTTAATTTTAAGAACAGTTTATAGATACATACACACAATGATAGCCCAGACTGCACTAACAGTGGGTCTCGGCATCCATTTGGCTTCTGTTTCACAGGTGCTGAAAAGCATGGCAGGTCCATAATGGAAAAATTCCAAAAAAGTATTACATGGATATTATTGAAATGTTAAGCACAGCAAAGTCTTCTTTAGCAAGTACTGAAAAAGTGTTTTCCATTTTCAGAATTTGTTCACAACAAATTAAGAAATCAATTATGGGATGAAAAGGTTACAAAACTTTCTTTTTCCCTTTTTGTTTAAAGCACTCAATGCAAATAGCTATAATGCAAATACTATAATGCACACATAGTGCAACAAACTGCTTTGAAAAGGTTGTATAGATTACAGATATAAACATTCCTATAGTTATATTTATTCTGACTGTTTAATTTGTATTTCTGTATTTATATAAATACAGCTTTTAGCATTATTCAATGCTAAAAGATATACAGCACAAAGTCCAAAATCTGGACTCCTCAGGACTTCTGCAATTATAGATTTTAGATCATCAGTTTAAATCTAGTAAGAAGACATGTAGAAATTATAAACATCAAAAATCTCATCTGTTTGTTTTTGAAATAATAAAACTTTTACGACCTTTAGAGAATCAAAATTTACAAAAAAAAAAAAAAAAAAAAAAAAAAAAGTTTTCCAGATTTTATACTACACCCAAAGGGGCTTTTATTTCATGTTTTGTGTGTTACCTTATTAAATATCATGTTCTTTGCCTTTAAATCATAAAATTAACTTCGTCAGCAATATCATAAAATAATTTAAAAAGAGCTAGAAAAAGCTTTACCATTTCCGATACACAGTTTTGCGCACTGAAGATAAGAATGTTTTTCTTTCCATACAGTGTTGCCATTGCTTGCTTTGAAATCACTGAGTTTCTTAATCAAAAACTCATGCATGCAACATACGATATAGATAAAAAAAAATTCTAAATTCAGGCTTCCAGATGCCCATATTCAGGTGAGGAGGTATGTTATTTTTTGAAAATGGCAGCTAAACGGCACAGAAGTTATACTGCTGGTTTTAAGCTTAATGTAGTTTCATGTGCTGAACAAATCGGAAATAGAGCAGCAGCTCGAGAGTTTGAAGTGGATTAGAGATGCATTCGATGTTGGAGGAGGGAAAAATTAAAAACACTTAAAAATATGCCACAACAGAAACGAGCCAAAAGAAGTGGTAAGGTGGCTGAATCTAGAGGATGATCTTGCAAACTGAATAAAGGAGCAACGAGGAAAGCGAATGGTAACTTTTACTGTAAACATTCACTTACAAGCAAAATTTATGGCGTAACAAATGAACATAAATGATTTCAAAGGAGGGCCTTGCTGGTGTAGCAGATTTATGAAAAGAAAAATATTTCTGTGTGAACTAGAACAACAATTACCAATAGACTGGCAGGAGAAAAAAGCATCTTTTATAGAATATGTGACAGATATTATTGACAAAAACTACTTCCATCACAGATAATAAATACGGAATGTCATTAGCTTTTGACTCTCCTGCAAACAGAACTATTGATGGAACTAGTGCAAAAACTGCATCCGTGCTTATGACAAGGCATGAAAGAACGTCATTTACATCTGTGTTAGCTTGTGCTACAAATGGTGGCAAGCTAAAGCTGATAATAATTTTTAAAAGGAAAACTATTCCAAAGGGAGATTTTCTTAATGTCGTAATTATTTGTGCAAATGAGAATTGATGGATGTGCGAAACCATGCATGAGTGGCTACAAAAAATTTGACAGTGTCGTAAGGGATCTTTTTTCCAACCAGAAGGGTTGTTGATAATGGATTCCATGTGTTTTCATTCACTTGAGTAAGTGAAAACCAGATGTCAAAAACTGTCTGCGACCTTAGCAATAATTCCTGGTGGTTTGACAAAAATCTTGTCAGTTAATAAATCCATCAAAGCTGAAGTCCAAAAGCGGTAGGAGTGTTGGATGAGTGAAGGATTGCATATGTATACCAAAAGTGGCAAAATGCATAGAGCATCTTATGAAGAAGTTGCAAAGTGGGTAGAAATTGGTAAAAACATCGTCAATAACAGCAGGGTTCAAAGAAGTGGAAATTATATCCTCATATAAAGAGACTGTAAACCAAGAAGATGAATGTAACGATCTGGAAGACTTGAACTATTTACATCAGGATTTGCTATATCTTTTTAATTCAGAAAGTGAAGAATCAGCTTTTGATGGCTTCATATGATGTACAGTTTGCAGTTTGCTTTAATTCTTTTTGTAAGTAAAATTTAAAATTTCCATTCAAATTTAATATCTTGTTGTTGCAATATTTTTTATAATACAGTATGAGTATTACAAATATGGACTTCTTTAGTACGTAAACATAAGTATATTTGTGAAAGTAAATATATTTTCAAAATTTCTAGCCTATAATTTATTTTTGAGTTATGGTTTCATTTCATGCATTTTTCTTAACTGATATGTCATATATCAGGACATAGGTTAAGATTTTGCGCATGTAAGATCCACGACCATGTCACGTGCAATTTAATTTACTGCAGCGTTTACGCTGATGCAGCCTTTCTTCCAGAAGTTATGACAGTGCTGTGTCAAGATTTCCCACTAAATTGTCAGTTGAAATTTTTTCACTGTTAACCTCTCTGCACTTTCTTCATTATTGGTAGAGAAATTTTCTGGATTTGGAACCCTACTACAAATTTCGTTATCTGTCTGTTGAATCATTATTGAGGCAAGCTCATCCTAATGGATTATTTCCGTTATATTATTTTCATTTATTACCACTTTTCTGGAAATTCCATTAATTGGAAAATTTCGCATTCTGTGTGCAATATTTGAAAACCTTCAAATTCAATGCTTTCGCTATAAAGCTTAGCAGGCGTCCGCTATGCACTATTTGCGATTAAAGACATGTTTTTCCACTAAAACTTGTCTTGTTCCTAACATGTGCTGAGGAAATTAAGCCTGAATTATATTAGTAAATATCAAACACACATACACACAACATGACAGGTGATGCCCAATAGATAATCACCTGCTATGTGCCTGAAAGCATGGCATAATAAAGTACCCTTATAGGAACAATAAATCAGTTATTCTTAATTCATACAGCAATAAATGGCTGATGAATACCATTTACAAAATCCATTTTTAGAAATTTCTGTTTGTCAATGCTCTTAACACTTTGTAATGCAATTGGCTTAAGTTTGTATTAGTCCCCAAGCGTAATGTCATAATAAAAGGTTACCATGCTGTTTGGTATTTAGTTATGGATATTTAAAACAAAAATTGTTCTAGATATCAGCGTGTGATTCATTTCTGAAGCGGTGGCCAGTTGATATTCATGTGATGTTGAAAGCAAAAAATAATAAAAAAATTATTCCATAGTTTTATTCAGTAGGCGTAAAATCAAGAATAAACTTTGATAGAATGTTTTGATTTGAGATGTATGCCAAGCAATAAGGCAGCTATGGAGCCAAATTACTGATTATACAGTTTTAGGCTAATGAATGATAGTGTTTCTTCAAGATGTAGCTGTTTTATTTAGTGTTGAAAAAAAAAATTATGAAGGAGGACCCTCCATATGCTACTCCTAGAATCTGATTCATTCTCAATTTCCTAAAAAAAAAAAAAAAAAAAAAAAAAAAAAAAAAAAAACATTGCTAGTGATCAGGAGTTAGGATATTTGATGTCCAAATTTTGGATTTTTTATGGTAATTACAATATTTTTTTGTGGCGGGTTACTTGTTTGTTAGCATATAAATGCATTTACGCTTGTATCTGGTTGTAACGAAAGTTTTCCGCCAAAAAAAATTCTTAATAAACTTCGGAAAAAACATGAAAGCAGTACCTTTAGTGCAGGTAGTAATCATCATCCAAATCTATGATTTTCTGCCAAAGATTTGGTTGTTTTTCAAAGACTTTGCCCAGAAACTTGCTGACTGCAAGTCCAAAACAGATCAACACCATTTCAGATGTCCTATGCAGAATGGAAGGTAGCACCAGCAAGATATAGCTGCACGTGTGAGAAAAGATAGAAGTTTGAAGGAGCAATGTCGGGACTATATGGTGGGTATGGCAAAAGATCCCATTTGAGTTCATACCGAGCCCAGCCCGTGAATACAGACACATATAGTCTTGCATTATCTTGATAGAACATTACCTTTTTGCACCAATACTCAGTTTGACGTTTTCCTTTGATAGCATCTTACTGGCGAGGATTTTACGTTTTTCCAGATACTCCTTGAGGATAATACCATGGCAATCCCACCAGATACAGCATGATCTTTTTGTTAGTCAAAATGTGCTCACCAGGTGCAGACCAACCCCCTTTTAGGCCATTGTTCAAGTAAATCCACTTTCCATCACAAGTGAAAATCTGGTCCAAAAGTTTGCCCTTGCGTTGATATTCAAGCATATTAGTGCAGGCCTGAACACATCTGCTCGAGTCAACTCATGTCACATCCAGCAATTGAACTTGTATGTCAAGATTAGATGATGCATAGCACGATTAATGGACATGGCGCTAATGTCCAACTCCTTAGTAAGCTCTCGAGTGGTTGCATACTGATCTTCCACAAGTTCTCGCAGATGGGCCTCATCAACATCAGTAGGCCAGTCACAGCTCTCTTCTTGAATGTCATAGTTCTTATTTTTTAACTTTCAGTACCAAATCTTTACAGTTTCATATGATAATAGATTAGTCCCTAAAGCTGTACACGTGATTTGATGACATTCTATAGCAGACTTTTTGCAGCAGATTTGGAAGTAAATGATGGCTCTAATCTGGCAGCATGATAGTTCCATTTCAGACATCTTGTACTTCATGATATTTTTAAAAAATTTTTTGAACACATTGTTCTAAATCAAGTCACTTTCTTCCAAATGCCAAAAATCGTTACACAAAATATGATTTAAATGTGGCAATGCAAACTGCATTGACTATATTTGCGGTGGTGGGAAACTTTCGTTGAAACCTGATATTAAGTGATTAAAGTTATTAAAGACACAAAGCTGCCAAGATATTTCACATTGTAAGCTATTCATCAGTAAAATTATTTAGAATTTAAATTATTTCTTTTTAATTATTATAGTAGTTTATGCATAAAAATATGTATTATGCTTCCTAATATGATCTGATTAGAAGTTTAATTATTTTGAAAACCACCAATGTATGGAAAGTTAACATAGAAATAAATCAAAAGTATGGGGAAAAAAAATTTTTTTATACGTTGGGAAAAATATTAAAGTATATAGTCCCCACTTACAGCAGATATCAGTGTGGTTGTGGTCAATGTCATCATTCAGGCATTGTTATCGAATTGCTGAAGTTCTGCTCATCTGTATACAAAAACATTGAAAATATATCACTTATTGTGATCAAAATATTACAGAATAAAATTTTTAAATTGCACTAAATTTGCCATGCAAGTTCAAAATTGATTATAAAAATTGAGAAATGATAAAGAAATGTTGCCAAATAGCTTGGTTTCAATTTTAGTCAATCACTTAAAATTAGGTAAATAACAACCTTAGTTTGACATAGATTTCAATAACACTATAGGTTTTTAGGCTCAGGCACAGGTTCCTCTTCAGGAATGAAAACAATTCCTGCAGAGTACTTCCCCCCCCTCAAAACGTCAATATGTATTAACTAAGGTTCCTTTTTTTTTATAATTTTTACATCAGCAAGTCCTCTTATATTTCTAGTTATATTTATATTAAATTAATTAAATTCCATAGCTATTTTGAAGGATTTGTAATGTTATCAAGATAGCTATGGACAAATGTGATTACTTTAAGCAGTGCCCATTATTCATCTTATTTTTGGTGGAATGTTTGTTAAAAAATTGCATATGTAATAGAAATTTAATAAACTGGTACGCACTGTAGGATTTGATAATAACTGGTCGGATTAAATTCAGAAATTTCAAATCCCAAACATGTCTTCAATAGAATTTTTTCATTTAATAATGTTTATAGTAAATATAAATTTCAAAAAATTTAGGTCTTAATCATATACCTTGCCTTTCAGATAGCAAAAGAATATATGTTAATAATGGCAGAAATAAAGAACATACCTGCCATTTCTACACTTATCTTTATGGATCTGGAAACAACTGGACTACCTACTTATGTTGGAAGGAAAAATGTTCATATCACTGAACTATCATTGCTTGCAGTTGACAGAGATGTTTTTGAAACTGATGAATCATTTCGCATCATAAACAAACTGAGTTTCTGCATTCGCCCACGAGTTGCCATTTCACCTGGTGCAATGGATATAACACGTAAGTTATCAAACAGCTATACAAATACCTACTAATGCCTTAGTGATATTTTTATAAAAATACATAGCTGGAAAGCATTAAAATGATTGTAATTATTAATTTATATCTATGAAAATGCACAGCATAAGTACTATGTTTCAGTATGTGCTTTTGCTATGTCATGATTTCTACAATGCAAGTTATAACCTTCTGTTTCTAAAATATATATTGTCAGGATTAAGAGGTTTGTAAAATGTCTTATAGTTTTATTTAAGCTTCATGTACTTTCAATATAGTAAAGTAATGTTTCCAAGCTCAAATATGTAGCTACATATCGTGCAAGTATATAATATACTGCAAAGAAAAAAAAAAAAAAAGTTTCAAATTGTTTTTTACTTTAAAATTTCAAAGAAAAAGCTAAGATGTTTTGACAAATTGCAACACCTAATCACTCTTCCATCATTCTTATTCAAATGTACAAGTCTTATTACAACCCTACAATTTATTTCAGATGCATTATTTGTGAGTATTTCCCCCCCTTTTTCTTCAAAGAGAATAAGACATAATGATCCAGTGAATGCTTTACATTCACTGGAAAAGAGAGGCAAGTTTGTCCACCTTAGACACTTATCAGCTACCTGCTTAAGGGAAGAGATCCCTTTTTGTGTGGAAGATTTTCTAAGAGAAATTTATTGGCATTTATGTAACATTTTGCCACCCAGACAGGAAAGCGATTAGTGACTCTGACTGCTGCATTGAAAGGGTCCACGGTAGAATCCTGGAGAAGGCGTGGATGTAATTTGTCTGTCCCTTCATAGTGTGTTCATAGCAGTGTCCCACCTATTAAGTGCCTCCATAATAAAGAGACTATCGCTTAGTAGTAGCCAATGACTATAAAGGACTAGAGCCTGCCATTGGGGGGCGGGGTCACATTTGAGGAAAATCATAAAAATTCTTATGAAGGCAGCCTGTTAATCAGCTTTGAATCTAGCTTAACTTCTAGTGTCCAGCAGTGTTAAGCATCTGGCCACAGATATGCAACAGAAGATACAAAACAATCATTAATTTCATAAAATCAAAATAGAGGAATTTCAGATTTTTTTTCGAAATTACATAAAGAAATGGATAATAATTACAAATGCATTAACCACTTAACAGTTTCTTTTTTCCGCCATATTATGACAAAAAAATAAGCATATTTTTGATAAACATTTTTATGAAGAAATTCATTATATAAACCCAAATCAGCAATCAGAACTATTAGAAGTGTTGAATTTATTGATTTATGCTAATTTTTATTTTCATCGTAAAAAGCAAATTTTTCCTTAAAGTTGGCTTTTTTCGAACAAGTAAGCAAACTGGAAAGAACAATTTACAAAAATAGATGTCAGAATTTAAAATGTTTTATTGTTATTACATATCTATTCGATTCCAAAGAAGAATTATTAATATCAAAAAAGAAGAATTATTAATATCAAGTTCACAAAAGTTCCGAATTTTGAGTTAGATTATCTATACTTTCTGTTTCTTCATCGGTAGAGAAGTCAGACAACAAACTGTCATTACTTCCAGAATCATTTAGTGAAATTTCAGATTCACTATCCGAGTCAATATCAGAGTTATCTTCAGTTATAAGCTCCTCATTATCATTCATTTCTTCTTTTATTTTAGCTCCAAATTTAAAAGAAATAGTATTCGCAGTAACTGGAACACCGATATAGAAATTTCACACCTTTACTTGTGTAAAAGAATTCTTTAAAACCTAACCGTGAAACCAGTTGTTTTGCAATTGTAACTTTAATGGATTACTAGCGCCATCTATTAGAAACATTACACACTAAACAAGCAAAAAATTCGGGCAAATCAGTCTATTAGACTAGAAAAAAATGGGGAAAATAAAAAAAAGTGCCATTTCCAAGTACCCAAACGATGTTCCGGCAAAACTGGAAAGTGGTTAAGTACGAGTAAATAGTTTTCCAAAGCACTTGCTCTCTTTTCCGAACTGAAACAAAGTATTCAAGTTTTGCATTTTCACATCAAATGTGAATTTAATGATAGATTTATCCTCTAAGCAGCTAAGCCATATATGTACATTCAAAAATATTAGTCTTGATGTGTTAAAGTATAGAGACTCTTGAAATAGGTCCACACAATTACATTAGTTATAACACTCTACTCAATATAAAATTCTTTACCTGACTTTTATATTTGAAAGTGTTAACAGTAAACATGTACATTTTCTGTAAAATGTTTTAAATGATGAAAAGATTTGTTTCTTATTTTTAAGTAATCTATAACTTTTTATACGTTTTAAATATATAAAGTTATTTAATATTCTTTAAAATGAATAACCTTATATATTTAGAACTATTAGAATAAATAACTTTCTAAATATATAAATTTCATACACTCTCTTTTTATACTCATCTTTAGGAAAATGTTATACTCATTATAAAAAAACAATGTAAAAGGTACGACTCTCTTTCAATGACAAAATTCGACTGAGATGTTCACATTTGCAATAATTATGGATTTTACAGTATAAGAAAATAGAATTTACCACTCTACTTGAGGGATTGGTTAAAAATTAAACTAGGATAAATCAAGTCTTTTTATTTTAAAGTCATTCAGTGATATTATTTCGTGATTTACTAATATGTAACATTCTTTAAATTATATTACATTTGGCATGCCAACATAATTTTCATATAAATAACTTAAACATTTCCAAATAGTAAAAATATGCTACTATTATCTACATGCAGTTTTATTACATTAATAATACATACAGTGGTGGCCAAAATTGTGGACACTTTTGGAAATTTTTATGTTTTGGAAATTTGTATGCTTATAGAAAATGTTACGTTTCGCAAAATGCAAACTTGTATATATCATTTTAAAGAGAATTTATTACTGAATTCAATACAAAACACAAAATTCAATTATTTGCAATACAAAAAAAAGTTATATGTACTTTAATATAAATAAAAAACACAGTTATGAAGTGGTTTCTAATGTCTAGCTTTCCTGGCCGATCACTGTTCTTGTTCTGAGAACCAATCAAATGTTAGTAACTGCCAGTAGAAGCTGACATCATGTTTACACTTGAAACAATTCATTATTTTGCTTTGTTCTGTAGAAGGAGGACCTGTTTCTTATACACTGCAATTACAAGTAGGAATTTTTGTAAAAATTTTTAATATTTAGTCAAGAAGCAATGACATCAAATAAAAGAGTAGATTGGACACCTAGAAAGAGAGGTAATATTATTGTGTTACGAGAAAGTGGTCTTTCCTATGCTGAAATTGCAAGACAGGTGGGTGGTTCAGTGACTACATCTGGAGTCCGAAAGTTTTGTTTACAATATCAGGACACAAATTCAATGCAAAACAAAGAAGGAAAAGGCCGAAAAAGGTGCACCACATCTATTGATGGCAGAAGAATAAAATGACTATGTCTCCAAGATAGAAAAATGTCATCAGCGACCATCAGAAGTGATCTGAATGATGCTGGTGTTTCTATCAGTTCAAGAACAATCAGGAGAAGATTAACAGATGTTGGACTGAGAGGTAGAATTCCACGAAAGCCTTATCTTAATTTTCAGCAACGAAAAAAAGACTGCAGTGAGCAAAGGAACACATTAATTGGACAGATGATCAGTGGTCACAAGTTATATGGAGTGATGAAATTAAGATATCGTTATTCGGTAGTGATGGGCGAAAATATGTAAGACGTAGAATAGGAGAAGAGCTACATCCTGACTGCATTCAAGCAACTGTGAAGAACACAGTTAGTGTTATGATTTGCTCATGCATGTCAGCAGATGGTATTGGTCGCCTTCATATCATCGATGGGACACTGAATGCCAGAAAATACATTGACACTATTCTAGAACTAATACTTCTACCTTCCATCAGAGATCTCTTTCCCAACAATGCTTTGTTTATTTTTCAGCAGGATTCTGCTCCTTGCCACACGGCCAATATATCTAAAGAGTGGTTTCGCACAAAGAGCATTAAATTGTCGTCATGGCCAGGAAACAGTCCTGACCTCAATCCTATCGAAAATTTGTGGCACCGTTTGAAAAACTCTTGTCCGAATGAGGCGCTCATCAAATAAAAGGGAACTAATTGAGGCTATAATTGTTTCCTGGCATCATGTAATAACGAAATAAGAGCTTAAAACTCTTGTCAGCTCAATGAAACGTCGATGTCAAGCTGTAATAAAAAATAGAGGGTACCCTACTAAGTACTGATAACTCACTGCAATCATCACTATCTAATGTATATCAATAACTATTATCGCTTAACTTTTTTGTATTGCAAATAATTGAATTTTGTGTTTTGTATTGAATTCAGTAATAAATTCTCTTTAAAATGATATATACAAGTTTGCATTTTGTGAAACGTAACATTTTCTATAAGCATACAAAGTTCAAAAACATAAAAATTTCCAAAAGTGTCCACAATTTTGGCCACCACTGTATATATAATGATGTACATGTGTATGTACATGTATGGACACAATATAATTTTCATACAAAAAATACATTGGACGAGAAATATATTTCAATTTTTGGTGGCATTAAGATTTGCTAACTGTTTATATACACCTAAAAAGTAATGCAAGTACCAAAAATATTTAAGGGTATTTTTATAAAATCCATGTTTTTAAGCAAGCAACCTTTATGCCCCAATAAAAGCACTGAATTCAATATGCTCAATAAAATTCTTCATATTTAGAAATTACAAAATACTTTTACATACTTAAATAAATATTTTGATTTAAAAATGAAACATAATGTCTGCATATGTTCTTCATGACTAGTTCTACAGCATTGTATTCTCTCGATGAAATTCGAAATTATTTTCTCATATATCTATCTGCCTATTGAGGCAACCAGTGACAAGAAACTTGAAAGAAGAGGAAATTGGCTTAAATGTCAATTTTCTCTTTAAATTCTTTTATTTTTATTTATTATAAGTTTAGATTCTTTGGAACTTGCAATAAATGTTATGCAC